CTTTTACATTTTTAATGATATTTAAACAAAACCAAAAGAAACTGTATTTGTATGTTGCTATTTCCTATCATTTCCAATATAGAAATATACATAGGTATTTTGTTATGTTTCTGTTTATATGCCACTAAAAATGTAAAATTTATTTTGAGTCCATATTTATTAACACCACTGTAAATCCCATTACTGTTATTACGTATTATGCAAAATAAATGCTTAAAAGTAGCATAAACATTTTGTATCTTTTGATAGATTATAAAACAACGAATCCTGGTGATCACATTTACAAGAACAATCATATATGAGGAAGTCAATTTGTACGCATAGCTTTGAGACACCCTGTACAACGTGTAATAGCATTGATGACGTTCGAGGCTCTTCCCTTACTACCAGTTTGCAGCAGCATTTCGCTGTCGTCCGATGCATATTCGGGACGTTTCACAAATAGGCGTATTAATCTCCCACGACCTCCGTATATGCACGTTTTGCATTTAATTTATACTTAAAATAACACCTTTAATCTTTAATGTAGCAATTATTTTCCTCGGGAAGGATTTTACGAATATCAGAGGGACTTTTGTAATACTTTCAGCATAATTAAACAGAGACGTAGAATTTCCTTTAACATTTATCTTACGATTAAAGTTCCTATCAACTTATGATGCATAATTAAAATTTTTATTCGATATAATTTATTGGAAAGTTTTCTATTATTTCACTTTTCCGAAATGAATTTCTGATTGTAAAATATTAATTACAAATAACATTCTTTAGCCGTTTAGAACTTTCTTTTTCGATAAAATTTTGTGTATATGCCATTTATTAGATTGCAATTAAAATTCAAGTGACACCGTGATTATTTTCTAGAGTTCTTGCAATAATTACGATGTCGACAGGGTGTGATATAAATTAAGTGAAATACATTGAATATTGTCCATTTGAAATCATTTGATGATTAACAATTAAATTTTTATTATTGAAAATTGAATTGTTAATGATTTCTACATATATTGGCTTGCATTTTTATATAATAATACAATATTAATTGTGAAAAAATATATAATGGGGCTTTAAATAACGATAAAAGACATTTAATTATCACGCAATTATAGCATGTCTGTAACTGATAGTTTATAATGTGTAATTAATTTTATGTTTGCGAAGCACTTGAAAGCAAACAAACAATAATATATAACGCGGTAAGGTAACGAACAGTGAAACTATACATATATTGTGTGTTTCACTTGTACGATTTCTGAGGTTATATTAATAAGGTCAATGGTGTGTTTAATTTGCAATGTATTTGGCTAAATTTATATCAAACGCAAAACACTAGTTAGAATATTATAATAGTTACAATATTAGTTTAATTTAAGATTAAGTTTAATTTTAATTGCATTTTAACAAATTATTTTTGAAGAAAATTTTATCGAAAAATAAAATTATAAATTATTATTAAATAATGAACCGTTAAAATAATGAAAATATCACATGGATTACGTATAAATTTGATGAAAGATTTTATGCTTTTATGGTAAAAATGAATAGATGCAATTTAAAACTGTGCACAGAATTACAAACGTTAGGAATACCGAAATGATTTATTTGCAATATATTATTTGATGTGTCATGGATTTTGTAAACGAAGATACATACTAGGACATCACAATAAATAGATTGATCAAATATTAGACATCGTAATTGACGCGGTTAGTAGTAGCTAATTTTGGAATGCATTTTAATTTTTTAAGTTTAATTTGGCGAAGTTTGATAAACATGTTATTGCTATCCTCGTTTCTTGTAAAACTTGAGTGCTGTTTTTCGCAAGCTTTTATATAATATAATTTATGGTAAATAAAAGAAAACCACAAAGCATTGTGGACAGGATAATAAAATGCTTATGCATGGAACATAGTTACGTAAGAAATGAATGGAGCATCTGTTCCATGTGCTGTTGATGACTTTAGATGCACCAGCAAGTATCTAGTGTAACGATCAAAACTGCAAAAACTGTTAGAAGTCTCAGCTTTGTAAAAGAACGTAAATATATTACTGTAGAGATTTAGTTATACGAGCATGTATTTTTACAGTATTCTGCTACCTAAACATTTTATTATCTAAGCACTGCATTATTTAGATATATTTTCACTTAGTAGAAAACTTGAATGAAATTTTTAAATCGTAGAATATTTCGTTATCAGAATATTACACAAATAAACGTTCAGATGAGAGAGGCTCTACTGTAAATGTATAGTTGTCTCAGTTCAGGGTTGAGTAAAATTTTATTCGTACAGTTTATTCGAAATTTTATTCGAATAAAATTGTATTCAGAAAATTTCTTCGAATCATTTATTCGAAAGATTAGTGGAATAAAATTTTATTCGAAATATTACTCGAATAATGTCCAACTCTGTTTCACTTATATTCAGTTGTACATAGAGAATGTTCCAGTATTAAGTCGAAATACAGAAAATGCGAAATGATTTCTCTGTGTTTTCGAGACAATTAATTTGAATTTTCTATGTGTGCGAATATATCATACTAGGTCGTGATTGAACGGATCTCGAAACAAATATTTACTTTATCCACTTCTGTAGAAGCATAATAACATCATGTCAAGTATATTTGATACATTGCCACAATCTTTTTATCAACAAGATTCTTTAACTGTGTTCTTATCGTTCGATCATAACATAGTCAAGTATATGTGCACACGGGAAAAAGTAAAAATCAATTTTCTCGAAAACGAAGTTTCAACTGGAAATAATTTATTCGATATTCGAAGTAATAGTTATCTTT